CTTTTTTTGGATAGCTTGATCTTCTTCTTTTTCTACTATTGATTTGACTCCTTGATCATTACCCTCTTGTATGGAGACTTGGAGTGCACTAAGAGATTGTCGGTGAGGACAATAGGACAACTTATAGGGGCATTTGCATAACAGGCAATGTAAAGTCATCGTTGGATAGTTTCTTTGGCAGTAAGACCCTCAAGATGGCCCGAAGTTTGTATTATGAGGAGGTCTATCTGTTCTCCCATTTGGTTTATTTTTCCTCCATTTGGCCTATTGCAACCTTCATTCTACTGACCCGGTGGATTGTAAGGTTTGCCCTAGATTTTGGGGGTGGTGTATTATTTCTTTGAAATCCAATTTCGTCCACAAAGTCTAGGAGTCTCTCTGCAGCAGCTAGTATAGCGGCAAGATCTTGAACCCTTTTCTTGTATAACTTTGTCCTTGCTAGGGTTGCAAAACTTTGACAAAACAGAATAATTTTTCCTTCTTAGACATATCCTTAATGTCAAATTGGAGAACCTTATTCCTCTAATGTGTTTCAGTTCTCGTAGTTTTCGTCTTGCTATGAACTCTACATTCTGGAGGAAAAAATGAGTCATCAATTCCTTCTTGAGGTATTTCTATGAGCTTATGGTGCATAACCCATTTTGAATGTCATTTACCTTCGAACGCCACCATAGTTTTGCATCATCTATGAGATGCCTTGTGACTAGGGTGACCTTAAGCTCTTTTGAACAAGTCCTCATGATTTAAAGTACTTTTCGACGTTGAAGATGAAATTTTTAGTTATTTTGCATCCCGGCTACCTTTAAAGGGTTTGTATTCCAGGATCTTTAGTTTATTAATCTCAACTAGGGTGTGACCTTGAGTTTGATGTTCTATGTCCCACATGGTCAAGTTCACTCCGGTGTTCATTTCAGCCATCTCAGCCTTGATGACGTCTATTGTTGTACAGAAATCTTCAGTCAACTTGCTGAAGAGTTTCAACATGGTCTTTTATGTAATGTCTATCTCTTCAACATGTCCTTCCCTGTGTGCGGCAGGGCTCTCAGAGCTACCTCCACGTTTCGAGTTGTTTGATCATGTAGCTCTTTCTCCTAGGGAGTCAACCTTCAATATCAGTTCTTTGATTGGCAACCCATCCAGGAGAATGCCCATTGTGTCAATTCCATCGACCTTTCCATTCAATTCGCACTCGTCCTTCGAGGAAGCGAACAGTGTCAGAGATTTCTTTTAAGGACATGTCATATTCGATCTTAGTGAGTCTCTTGACTTGCAACTTAACAAGTGCGACTTAGCGAACTGTTTTTTTGTCGACATCATTTCAGTCTTCGATACTACTTGTCACAATCGCACTTTATAGACAGCAAATTAGTGATTGTGCAGCGCTTGTTCTAATCTAGCGAAAAAGTCAGCTATTTGAAAATCGAACTTTGAGGTCAATTCTGACATATGGTCTAGCCTCAGAGCCATGCTTTGAGAGAAGATTTTAGAAAACGTGGTTGAAGAAAATCGTTAAAAACAAGTGGGAATTAAGCATTGTATAATTTAATTGCATTGAAAACAATGTGGACAAGAGAGATTACAATACTTGGTCCCCTAGTACATTTTGAGACGATCTATTTCTCACCGCCATAGACATGACTTCGTCAAACAATCATAAAAATAGAATTTACAATAGTAAAACAATACAACATAAAATTAAATAAAGAGTTTGATATGGGATAGGCATGCGACTATCATGACACAGTGATGGAACAAAGTCTTACTTTAGATCCTAGTACCTCTCGACTTTGTTTTCTCCTTTTTCTTTTGTCATTGTTTTACACGATTTTTTAATGAAATTTTTTATATTAAATTTTTATTGAGTTGTCGGTTTTATGGTTTTAATATTTTGATGGGTTCCAAAACTTTTAACTTCAAACGTCTCCATCTAATTACACAAGCTTCCGCTTCTTTTGGGAAGTCTCTATTTAACATGTTTGTAACAATGACCACCTATAAGGGTACCCTACGTACTAACAATTAGCTCATACCCTAATTAGATGACTCTACTAATCCATTATATTGGTTATTTTAATATCACACAAAGATTTCAAAGGCAGAGATTAGTTACATGGCAATGTTCTTGGCCGATCTCAATTTGACTAAGGATTCTAGGTTAGAAGAGTTACGTTAATTCGGTTTCTATTTCGATCAAAAACTAATCATAGCAATGATGGTTCGACCGTAAATGAAACAATGAAGGTTGATAGCTAATGAAAGAAGTTATTAAATTTGGAAAATGAGTAGATAAGATTCTTGTCTCAAAAGACCAAGGTTTAAGTGAACTCTTCTTGATTTTCTACTTCACATAACTTAAAAAAACTATCCATAGTCTAAATTAACTCCGATAATGAAGAACATTTGACAATGATCACATGCAACTCATAGCCAATCAAAACATGCTTGTCTTTATTTTTCTGTGTTCGTGATACAAGAAATCTCAATAAAATTTCTCAAATTAAATGGGAAACTTTACTCATCCATGTCCTCCACTCCATTGAATCTATATGACCTAATAACTCTGAATTCATTCGTGTTCTAGCGTATTATAATATTTAAGGTAAAATCTTTCTTGCGAAATCATTAAAAGTTTTACTATGTCTCTCATCCTCTCTATCCCACATTATTTTGCATGGACCATCGCTATCCATGTACAATAAATTTATGTTCATTGGCAGCAAACAAAATCCTATTTAGAATTTTGATTCATGATTCAAATTCTATTTATTTCAGTTGTAATTTTGTTGAAAAAATGATGGGACATTGAGAGATTCTGTGTATAGATTGTTCTTTGAATTATCAGATTGCAACAGATAAAAAGAAAAAGAGTATTCACTTTTGTTAGGTTGATCAGGTAAATAATTATTAACTACCCTCTACTTTTTCAGCTTCAAAACTTTAACTTCCATTAATAAGTCTCTTCACATGATGTCTAGGTTAGGAATCCGAAAAAGAAACTCACGATGAAATTTGTCAGGTCAATTCAGCTCAATTTTTCGAGAATTTCAATTAGTTTACCATTCTCAACTAAACCCTAAATTTTACCGTATCGTTCGATGTCTTCAATTTTTAGTTGGTCCCCAAAGTTCAAATAATAGTCTTTTGCGCATCTGAGTTTTGAAAACTTTCACTTCATAGTGAAATAATCTTTGTTCTCGAAATATTGATTTAACTTGATGTTTTGCAAAATGTAAGCTTGTTGGACGATAATGTGATGTCTCACATTGGTTGGGGAAGAGAACAAAACACCATTAATAAGAGTATAGAAACCTTCTTTAAAGAGAAGCTCGAAAGGAACCTGAATTTAGATGGTTACAGATAATAACCTTAATTATTTAAAGAAAAAAATAAAAATATATATAAATAATAGAAAGAAAAGGGTTTGTATATAAAAAAGAACCGGTGGAGTGATTTATTGCATTTGCTTTGAAGGAAAGAAAAGTATTTTGTTTTTGTAATCTTTTATTATTGTTATTATTATTAACAATATAATAATAGTATGAGATATTGTATTTTAATTTGAATTTTATTTTGAAATAGGACATAATTTTATTTTGAAAGTATTATAATAATAATATATGGGAAGGGATAGATGCCTTATGTAAGAGGGGTGGAAGAGAGATGGGGGGGGTACCCCCCACTATGCCCCCACCTTGTTTTGTATTTACAGCCTAACACCTACTTCCACAACTCTCTCTCTCTCTTCTTTTTCTCTCTCTAAATGTGATTCTTATTAGAAGGTGATGAATATGGATGGCATAGAATGAGGTGGGGTGTACAGTAAGAAACACGCATAGTGTCTTTACAACCCAATCACGTGGCTCCATGTGTATGGTGGTTCCAAATTTAAGTTTTATTATTTTAGAAAAAGGTGGAACAACCACATTGGATCTCACACACCCACTTCCAAATTTGTAATCATCATGTTGGGTTATGTTTTTTACTTTCACCTTCCGATTTTACCTTTTAACCGCAGATAATATCGTGTGGAGGTTTGGGATAATTTTAAAAATAAAATTGTGAAAGACAAAAGGGTTAGTTCACATGGGCATGTGATGTGAATGTCACTTGCATCTTCTTCCCTTGTTTTGTGGGGGCTGAGGGAGGGGTGAAATTTTGTCCACAAATTATTATTTTTAATATATATAGTTAAATTATAACATGACATGACATGAGAGGTGTGAAAACAAGACTCCCCTTAACATAACCTTAACTATAATTATACATTTCTTTTATTATTTATAATTTATTCAAAAATGTGGGTAACTTAATCAATCACCCACGTTTTTACCTCTGAATTTGGAATAAAGGATATTTTGTAGGGCTGATTTTAGAAAAACAAAACTAATTAAGTACTTTTCAAAAGCACCTTTGGTTTTAGAATAAGCTTGGAATAATAATTATAATAATATTATAAGGTCTTTTTAGAGAGTAGCTTTTTTTTAATTCTCTAATTTTCTTTTTCTTAATCATCATGTACTTATTAAAATTACCTAAAATGCCCTTCAAATTTACCATAAACGGTTCAACTACCACTTTTTTCTTTTTTTCTTTTTTTTTTACTATTCTAAAAGTAACCTATTTTGAATATTACTGGGTGAAGTTTGATTACATTACAATTTAAATGGTACTTTACTTAAAAGTGAATGTGGGGTTGAAAGAAAAGAGTAAATTAGAAGGGTCATCAAAAGCATGTGCTGTGGATTTCTTGCATTAATAGTGTTTTTAATGCTGAATTATCACTTTTCACATTATTATTATTATTATTATTATTATTATTATTATTATGCCTTTTTTTTCTTTTTTTTTTATTTAATATCTAAAAAAAGAACACATACACATTGGATTGTTGCAATTGTGGACATCATTGGAACATGAGAGCATGTGGTGATGAAGTAGTAAGCTTTTTGTGTGTAATATATATATATATATATATATATATATATATATGCTTAATTCTATACTAATCATAAAGCTTCTAAGCTTAATCAAATAATGATTACCCACTAACTTATTATAAACAATTAAAAACAAGTACAAAGTTAATTAAGGGAAGTGGTACATTTTGTATATGGGCCCCCATGTGGGCCCAAACAATTCCCCAAAAAAGCCCATTATGGGAGGCCCCCCATGTGCCCACACAACAAAAATAAAGACCAAGAATTTGTGTATCTCTCTCTCTCTCTCTCTCTCTCTCTCTCTCTGATGTTGAGAGATGCAAATGGATAAGAGGATAAAGCTTGGGCTGTTTTTTCATTCTTTTAATGATTCAGTTGGGCCTCTATATGGGCCTCTATATGGGCCTCTATATGGGCCTCTATATGGGCCGCTACATGGCTTCGGAAATGGAGACTCCAAGGGGAATATTTGGTTCATATGAGATGAGCCTTTGGAATAAGTTCTTCAAAAACAGAGTTCAAATCCTGTGAAGATGAGAGCATCTCCTTTTCTTCAGTTGTGATGCTATGAGTCCATTCTCAAGCCTCATCCTCTCATTTTCCAACTTCAACTTTTCCAATTCCCAATCTCGTTTCTTCTTAAATCGCTCCCACTTCATACGATCGTCCTCCAATTCCAATCTCTCTATTTCGATTCGAACCCGTTTCTCTTCTAACTCAATACAATGCGACTCGATCCGTACCTGTTGTACCTCACAAATTCTATCAGTTTCAGCTACAACTTGATTCGTTACAAATCGAGCAACTCGAGAACTATTGTTGCCTTCTTCGTAGCCATGTTGGAGCTTCCACAGATCATCGTTGTCGCAATCGATTCTATTTCCGAGAACCAACTGTAAAGAATGAAGCAATTCTGGATCATGAGGCAAATGCAGTCTATTACCATTATGATAAGAACACATCTCCTCATAGAATAAATGCTTGGAGTTTAGAATCTTCCTAACATCATCCTTTTCCTTTGCTTTCAAGTAATCTATCCCGTCCAAAAGCACAGGGTTCTCGACAACTTCGCAGGACGTCCCCCTACCGAGCATATCATTCAGTCTCTTATACCTTTTGTTGAGATCATTAAATTTATCCTCACATTGCTGGGGCGAAACATGATAACCTCGCTCGCCCATTACCTTCGAAACCGATTTCCACTTCCCCTTCTTTTGTAACACTACAAGTCTCCTTGTCCCTAAGCTTCCACATCCAGAACCAGAATCCTCTCCCATGTAGGATAAAACAGTAATCAAGAGCTTCACCATCTTGTTCGTCCACTTCACACGCTGCCATTGCGATCCATTCTTCTCGTTACGAGCATCATTATGAACATAGATCCCCTCCTCATCTTCATCGCTTGTCATATCATTGCCCATCTCCCTGTTATCATGATCTGCAAGTCCAATCCAATGATCCCTCTGTTGCAAGCTTCCCATTGTCAATGGAAAGCTGCCACGAACCGAGGATCCAACCGAAGATTGATATCGACTACTATCATGATATTGGTGGCATAAGTTTAGGGTATATTGTGGCTGTTGACAAGGAACCCCCATAGATCCTTGCCAGTCACCACCTCCATAAGAAACCCCCTCGGGAATCATGGATGCCTTCAAATATTTCATACTCTAATTCACGCCCTGTTTGGATCCAAATAGAAGCACAGTAGTTCTTATTTTCCCCTGATTTTGAATTGCTTCAATCAATCAATCAATTCCAGTAATCTAAACCCTAACGCAAGCGAGTAATTCTCCCAACAACATCAATCAATCCAAACAGAAATCCATTTCCTAAATCAAAGATCCAAAACCACATTCAAATGCACATACATAGAAACTCAGAAACCAATGCGAAATCCACAGAAAAGCTTTGCAATTTAAAGAACATCACAGATAAAGATAGAAACGGCATTAGGGTATTAAAATCCATTACCTGAAAATGAGGCGAAGAACTCCGTAATCAGTGTGTTAGAGTATCAGGTCTGATGAAGAACCGCAAATCAAATAATAATAATAAGAAACGGAGGGAGGGAAGGTTCAGAGAACCCATTATAGATTATTAATTGAAGGGCTCGTTTGCCGACGAAATGAGCGTAGTGCTAATACGGGAAATTATTATGATATTGCGAAGGCTAAATGCCCATATTTGGATAGGCCCCAATTATTGGGGTGTCTGCAAATATTTGAACTAGTAGAAATCTTCATTAAATTCCAACCTCCTGTTGCAACCTTTTCACTCTCCTCATTAACTACAGAACAAATCTAAATGTAAATATCCAAACATATAAAAATTCAACTAAAGTTGAGACCTTTTCATCAATTTTTTTAATTTTTATAGGCTACATGTGATTTCTCGGAACCACACGAACGAATCTCTGAGCCAATCTAGAGGGCTTTTACTAGGGATCTTAGAGACAATATTGGAAAGAGTTGTTTTGGTCGAGGAGATTAAGTTTGAGGTTTTGAATCATCCGAATTCATCTAGAAACAAGAAAGATCTAGAGGTAAGGATTTTGAAATTTTACATTTTGTTTTCGTTTTAGATTCGAGGTATTCCTCAATTAGTTAGTACAAAACTCAAGAAGGAATTTATGAGAAAAATTGATCAGAAGTCGAAGTTTTGATTGAATCTTAAGAACCGTACCATTTTAGATTTTGGAAGGCATTTCATTCTATCCATAGTTACTAAATTTGAATGAGGATAATTTTATTGAAAAATTGGATTAAAGTTCTTCCAACTTTGACGAAGGAATCCAGTTTAATCAAGTTAGGTAGAAAAAGATAGGAATATTGAAAGAAAATAGAAAAAGTACATTATCGTGATCAGATTTTCGAATTCTATTTGCAGATGCGTTGAAGAGGGTTCGAAGGGAGGCGCACTTGCGCCACACTAGGTACACATGTTGACACAGAAATAATGTGGAAAAATTGTAACCACACTGTTGGAATCGAAGAGAGGAATGCGGGCTTTAATGGGGACACGTGTCAACACTAGGAAAATCAAAGAAATAACATCGCCGTAGGATTCAGAAACTTGTACCTTCAAGCTTAACCTAGGTCAGTCCTATAGGATAGTGCATCGAGGTGATTTTGGTGCCTCCATCGTGTGTGAAAATGAACAAGGAGACTTTGTAAACTTATCCTAAAAGGGGGCGACAGACCACACAAGTAGACTTTGTAGTTTATCGACACATAGAATCGCTCCCCCGGATTTAGTGTGAATTTATAGTCTTGTGTAAGGGATGCAAACTATCCTCACACAGATGATGTTCGGGAGAGATAATACATATTATCATTTTTGAGATGATTATGATAAGGTCTCACCTCCTAAATAGACTAATGATTCACTTCCAAGGTAATGTAGTTAGCTAAGTCTAAATAATAGAAAAATTGGTTCACCACATAACTCAAATAAGTCGTATAGTAGATCCACATGCCAGAATAGGTGAATAACTTCCAAAACCCGATTGGGTTTGATGTAAGGAAGGGAACAATTTTCTAGACCCAATTGAGTTTGCAACATACATGAAAACCGCTTGAAACTTCAAGACCTCCAAGAAGCTCAAATAGCTATAGAACTTAGGTTTGATAGCCTACTGGGTCATGGATATGATTAGAGTTAGGTTGCTTATCGAGTACACTAAATATTACATTTTTTTTTTCACGTAACTGCTAATTGTTAGTTAAGGTGGGGGACTGTGCGAGAGTTGTACGGTTCACAAAGGAGAGTTGTCCCGAAGCATCAACCCTTATGTACTTAGGAGTTGTTTACTGTTTTGTATCTCATTCCCTCTTTTATAATAAACTTTTAAACAACCATTGAATTTGTAAATTTTTTTATTTTCATCTTTTAAAGGTTAAAGGTTTGGTTGTTTGTTTTTTAATTTGCTCAAATTTTTTATTGTACTTTTTTATTTTTATTTTGTACTCCATTGGAATGCGTGACTCAAATCCTTGAAAGTCAGGTCTTGACTAATTGGTATCAACACAATTAAGTCATAGGTCTTGTACATTGGTTTAGATAGAGAGTTGTACATCATCTATGACTTAGCTCGATGATACATCCTGCCACAATCAGGTAAGAAGTCTTAATTTAAAATGTGATTGAGTTTCATGAGATAGAACCCTGTAAGAACCATAATTTAACGTAGATGCAAGGGCCATAATTTAACGTAGATGCAAGGGTGAGTAGGTTAATTATCTTTTGATAATCATGGATCCCACGACAAGGATTTCAATTGACAGACTAGTGACTAAGAGGGGCAGGAGAATGGTTGCAGATGGCACCATAGTGAAAGTCCTAGAAGTTAAGACAACTAACCTTTGGAGGTATCCCCAAAGAGATCCCTCAAGTACTAGCGCTTATCCAGGACGTGCCACTAGCACAACCTACCATTACTTTCACCCGGGAGTCCATGCAATTGGTTATGACAACCACAATAGAGAGCTAGACTAAATTAGAGGGACAAAAGTTGAATCCAGTGACCTAAGGGATTTTAAAAATTACAACTCACCCTTCTTTGACGGTGGAAAGGTAGATCAAGTAGCCATTGAGGCTTGGTTGGAGGCAATAAAAATGACCTTCTAGTATATGAAATGCCCATACCAGGTGCACTAGACCACTTACATGTTAACGGGTGAAACATATTTCTGGTTGAAGAGCGCACAATGCATGCTCAGTGTCGATGGAGGTTCTATGACATGGCCCTATCTCGTTGTCACAAGATATAAGAACCATACTACATATTTAGATATGAAGCAAGGTGATAGAACAATCAATGAGTATGACCTCGAGTTAAACAACTTTTCTCAGTTTGCTTCATGAGTTTGCGGATATAGATAAAAAGAAGATTGATAGTTTTATCTAAGGTCTTAGAGACCAGATTTAAGGCTTTGAAGTGGCCCAAGCTTTATCAAATTACATCACAATATTATGAATAGCTATTGTGATAGATATATAGAAGCATAAGGGTAAGCAGCTAGAGACTGTCGAAGCTTTCTTAGTATCATAAGTGATGAACCTCTCACCCATGTTGAGCTGTAAGAGCAAGAATCAACTTTATCGTGTCTAGTCTAACCACAGGCGCAAAAACCTCCACAAAATCGACTCCTTATCATTGCACATATCCCTTCACCATGAGTCTTGCTTTATGCTTGCTGTCATTTCTTTCACTATTCTTCTTCAACTTAAACATCTACTTCAAATCGATGGGCTTGTGTTCTGGATGTACATTAGTCAGTGCCCACATCTTGTTCTTCTCAATGGTTTCAACAAGAGAACTAAACTTGTCGGGATCCAATTCTTCTTCAAGTGTATTCGCATAAATTTCAGCAAGAGAACTAAACTTCTTTGGTACATCCTCTATTATGGATCCTCATATGCTCTCGCCTAAGCTCTCTTGTTTTAGAGAATTCATTACACCTTTCAGTGTCACCAATGATGACATGTGTGGATTTGTCGGTGCACTTTCTAGGTGAATTCTATAACAGTCTACTTGTTGTCGTCAACGCTGCACAATCTCACTTCTTCTCTTCTTCAACGATGACATCTCTACTTACATAAATTTTCTCATATTGCGAATAATACAACCTGTCTCTTGGTCTCATCTACGTCTCTTGGTCTCATTCTCTACATCAAAGTACTCTTGAGAAATAAACTTGCAGGAGAGAGGAAAAAAAAAAGTAGTTATGAATTATTTTTGTTTTAAATTATGTCAAAAAGCTCTTACATAATTTAAGAAAGAAATGGGTTATGGGAGAGAGAAAAGTGATGAGGTATGGCTAAACTTAGTCTTATAAAAAACTATATAAAGGGCTTTAACTATTGTTGTAAATGCGAGACAGAAAACAACAAGTGAGAACAAGAAAGAACAACATAGAGGGGCACAACAAACTTGTTTGAGTTAGTGTGTAATACAAAAAACCTTTTGAGAACTTCTTTGTCTCCTTGTCTCTCCCCTTTCGACACCTCCTTTAAAGTTTCGTAAGAGTTATCTAAACGAGTTAGATTTAGAGCGAGCGTTTTTTTCTCTCAAGTTGGTATTGGAGCGCCTTTATTTTTCTACAATTTGGTATCAAAGCAGATGGCAAACATGATGGGACAAATGTCGCTACCACGCTTGACGAAGATGAACTACGAGAATTGGAGCATCCAAATAAAAGCTCTTCTTGGTTCGCAAGACGCATGGGAGGTGGCCGAAGATGGTTTCGAAGAACCGATTGATACCACGGGTTATACGGTGGCGCAAAACAAGACGCTAAAGGAATTACTGTCAAAGGATAAAGCAGCATTATACATGCTGTTCCGGGCTGTTGATGAGTCGGGCTTTGAGAAGATTGCAAGGGCAACTACTTCAAAAGAAGCATGAGACACTCTAGAAAAGGTGTTCAAAGAAAGTGACCGAGTTAAGCAGGTGCGTCTCCAGACTTTACATGGCAAGTTGGAGAGCATAAAGATGAAGGAGTCAGAAAATGTATTTGACTACATTACACGTGTACAGACCGTGGCGAATCAACTAAATCGGAACAGAGAAATGTTACCCGAGACGCGGGTTGTGGAAAAAATCCTGAGGTCGTTAATAGACACTTCGAAAATGTCGTGTGTGTCATAGAAGAGTTGAAGGACCTAGCGAAGTTCACAGTCGATGAGTTTGTCGGTTCTCTCGAGGCACACGAGCAACGTAAGAAAAAGAAGAAGGAGTCACTCGATCAAGCCTTTCAGACGAAGGCAACAATAAAGGATGGAAAAATACTCTACTTACAGAATTTTCAAGGTAGAGATAGTGGAAGCCGCGGGAATGGTCGAGCTGCTCAAGGCAATAGTCACAAAGAAAACTATCAGGAGAAGAGACTATCGAGCCAAGCAAATTGGCGTGGAAGAGGACGTATTCAAGGGCGCAGTCAAGGATACAATTCCAACATCCAATGCTTTAAATGTCAAAAATATGGTCATTACGCGGATAATTGTAACTCAAACAGATGTTACAATTGTGACAGAATGGGTCACTATGCGAGATATTGTCGAGCCAAAGAGAAGGTAGAAGAAACCATCAACCTAGCCTTGGATGACACAACAAATGGAGGCATCCTCTTGATGGCTCAAAACGAAGAGCCGAACA